CGGCCGCGGGATCAAAAGGCTCCCGCACAGAAACCGGGACTTCGCCCCAGCGGGGTCCCAGGACGGTCCGCCTGGGACGGGAGGAGGACAGGTGGGGAGAGCTGCGCCCGGAGCGTCCAGTGGAAATGCTCGGGGCCGGGCCAGGCAGCGGGTCACCGGGCGCCTTTCTCGGGCTCCACGCTTCTCCCCAGCGGCTCCGGCTCAGGGGCCGGTAAAGCTGGTCCCCAGGGGAGCGTGAAACCGGCTTCCGCAGGCACCAGCTTAGGCATAGGCATCGCTGCTGATTCTATGGGCAAAGCTCTAGGAGCTTCCTCATCCCCCAGATCTCCCGACGAGGGGCTGCCATCGCCATTTACAGACGAGAACGGTGGGCCCGAGAGGCGGCGTGAACCCGTCTGTGTAGGAGGCAAGATTCAACCAGGACTCCGAGGCCACAGGGGCCCGGTGAGGCTCCTCCCAGACCACGGGGGCTTGCACTGGGACTGTGTGCTCTGAATTCGAGTTCAGCGTGGAGATCAGTGGGAGGCCGCGCAGAGGACAGAACTGTGTGGCCAGTGTGGCCACTCCATCCTGTCCCTGCTCCCACAGGGACTCCAGAGGAAGTCAGCGGGAATGGTGGTTGCCCCCATATCACAGAGGGGAAAACTGAGGCTCAGCTTTCCCAAGGCTCCATTGACTTGATTCTTTGTCCAGCGGGAGAGAGACAATGCCCCATGCGATGCTCGTTCGCTGCCTGCCCGGTCCCCAGGAAGGCCACTGCTGGGTTCCAGGCAGGAGAGAGAGAGAGAGAGAGGGTTTTGGAACCTCCTCTCCCTCAGCCTCCCTCGTCCCCGGCACCTCCTTCTTTACCTTCCTCCTCCCGCCAGGTTTGGAGGCGCAGAGGATGTTTACCCTGGGAGCAGGCCGGATGCCTCTGCGGTCAGCAGCCTGATTCACTGCAGGGAGGCACCCCACCCAGCGGCCCCAGCTGTCAGATTGAGGGTGAGGATGTGGACAGGGGACTCCATACTCCGCTCCACCTTGCCCCCAAGACACTCCTGACCTACCTGAAGCATCATCCCAACTAGCCAGGGATTTCTACTCATCACCCTCTACCCCCTACCTGGCTTCTCTTCACTCTTGGGGAGGAGGAGCCAGGAGGAAACCCAAGAACGTGCACCTTTCTGAAGCCAGGGATCGGCCATTCAAAAGGCTTTGGAAGTAACTCCCAGGATGCGGTTAGGGAAGGGGTTAGGAGTAGGGGTTAGGATTAACCCCCTCTTTTTCTCCACTCACTGAATCCCCCCTTCAGAGCCCAGAAGGGGTTAATATTTCACCAGCTACCCCCTTCTTTCACCTGAAGGGTCCCCAAAAGGCTTTTCCGGAAGCCCAGCTGACACGTGGT